TCATTTATTGAACAGTATGGAATAATTTCATACTTAAAGTACTTTCAGAAGTTAGTGTTCTGAATAGGACCGGACTTCTTGAAGTCAGGACTATCAGCAGGTTGACCACGAGTTTCTTTGGAAACTATTGCAAAGTTTTCTATCACTACTACAGAAATAAAACTGATTATCTCCATCTGCCCTTGGAACAGCGGAGAAATGGCAGGCGGTCTACACAATCCTGGAGGCCTTTGGTAACTGCTCCACCACCATGAACTCCAACGCCAGTCGCTTCTCTCATGTTGTTTCGCTGGACTTTGATCAGGCTGGCCAGGTGGCTTCTGCTTCCATTCAGGTAACAAAGCAGTTTTGTTTTCTTCAGTCACAACATTTCCTTGAAGCCCAGCTGTGTAATTCTTCACCTGTCTCCTGTCATTTAGACAATGCTGCTGGACAAGCTGCGGGTGAGCAGAAGACCTGAAGAGGAATCCACCTTCAATGTCTTCTACTATTTGATGGCTGGTGCTGACAGCGCTCTGAGGTGATGATGCTAGCACCTTGTTAGCCTTTTTCCCTTTCCAGTTTAGTATTGATGGGTCCAGCAACACCGATACGTCGGTAAATGCGTCTAGCCTATAGAAGTATCGGTGCGCGTGACGTTTCAAGAAAGTCATGTGACCGATACAGGAGTTGTTTCTAACTGACTGACTCACTAAATTCTGTTTAAAAACATATCTGTCAACATGATGCATCTACTAACATAAAAGTCTCGTCTTTAGCAGTTTATCTTTAAAATGATCAAGAATTTTGGAGCAGCCTGAAAGGAATGTGAACATTTCGGCCGTTGCGTTTTTATTTTAATTACCTCATTTTGTCATCGTTTCACTTAACTTATCTGAATTAAAGTTAATTTAAAATTCAATCTTAGTTTATTTACTGTCTTTACTGTAATTATTGTTTTAAAAATATTATTCAAAATCCTAGACTACAAGCATCCTCATTCACATTTTATGATGTATGTTTACATTATTTATTGGCTGCATCTAAAAATATCAAAGATATTTTCAGTTTCAACAGAGATATGAAATAATACAATATAACCTACAATAATTGAAATTATATTATTGTACTAGGTCATCAAACCAATTCAGTTTAGTCCTTTAAATAAGCTGCCTGTAGTGTCTTTAAATGTCCAGCAGGTGTCAGTATTCTGTGAGACGGTATCAATGCAGCATCAATCCAGTTCGGCAATGATTCAAAACGCTTCACGATGCCTCATTAATTCACTACTGTTTAGATCTCCTTGGTCAGGATTCTGGAAGTTGTGTGTGATGAGTTTTAATGATTTTGAGGCCTGTAAATCTAAAATAAATACACAGGACATACCTGACTCCTGTCAGGATCATGTTTATATCAACCTCTCAGGAAACCCCAGTTTGCTTTCTGTCTTGGAGCTGAGTATCATGGGAACTGTAGTCCTACATTTTTTTCATGACATTCTTCTCTCACATTCTCAAATTCAGTTTTCAAATGAAGTGAAATGTGCTTTGAACATTTCAGCTTCACTTAGATTTTGGTAATGATCAGAAACAATCCTCATGAGCGGCAACAATTCAATTCGGTTCATTTATAAAGTGCAAATTCACTTCTCTGGTCTACTGATGACACTTCTTGTTTTCCTGTTAAATCCTGGTGGATTTTCTTCTGACTGTATGTTTTTTTTAGAATATTACCTATGTGTTCATTCAGGAAGAGCTAATTCAGCTGAGTTTCCTCATATAGAAAGCTTTAAAACTAGGGCTCCCAGAATTCTGACATTACTAGAACTTCCCAATGAAATAGGGGTGTAAATCACATCCATCAAGGCGATGCGAATCAGTATCGATTTCCCGACCTAACGATTCGATTATTTTCGATACTTAAAAATACACCACTATACTATTCGATTTGATTAATTGGTTCATTTTTTATTTATTTATTTATTTTTTTGCTCCTTACAGGCCAGACAATGTTTCAAATTTGAAATAAATCAATGAAAGCTGTAATATCGTTATGCATTTTTTTTTTAGAAACAACAGCAAATAACAGAAATTGAAAAGTTGCATCAAAAAATACTGCAAAAATACTGCTCAAAATCAGTGCAATGAGTGCAATTCAATGCCTCGACTCTGGGGATCCACAGACGCTCCGCTGCTCCTCTCCCAAACTGAAGCTGATGGCAGACAGTCCCGCAGACAGGAGGCCGGCTTGTTTTGTTTTTATGACTGAAATTGCAGAAAACAACTCATGAAGTTTGACCCGCTAAAAGAGGAAGGTGCGCGAGAACGCTGGGACCCTTTTTCCACCTGGATCTCCGCTCTTTTTGGCCCTCATGTTCCTCCGTCGTTGTACTAAACCCGCCCCCACTTCCTCGCCACCTCGGCCATATCTAGACCCACAGCGTGTAGCTCAGACCACGCTTCAATATTGAGCATAAATCAAAAATGTCTGCGTCAAGCTTACTGCAACACACTGCTGTAAGAGTATAACCAGGAAGCGAGGTAGGAAGGCAAAATAGGTTTAGCGCCATCGCAGCACGGGAGGGAGAATTACGCCCAGGAGCAAATGGATAAAAATAGACCGGAGGAAAAAAAAACATGAATCGATTATCTTGCGGACGTATCAATGCATCGGATCGCCAGCTGTTGGATCAATGCATCGATTCAAAACGATAATTATTTACACCCCTACAATGAAATGCATGAGTATTGATGATGTCATCGACTGAAATGGTTTTAGTGTGCTCATGTAAACTCATTGTGGACATGTAAATCCTTAAAACAGGTCTAATATTTTTTTTTTTAAAGGCTGTGTTGTATGCTATTTTATTTGTGGTATAAATTTGTATTAAAAATAAATCATTAAAATAAATAAGAGCGTTTTACTAAATAGGTTTGAAATTTGTAATTTATTTACAGAAATGTATTACCCCTGACCACATTTTTGACATTTATGACAAACATATAAGTGTTTTTTTTGTGCAGCGCTGACTAGCAACTAGCACTGTTCTCTTTGCTGCTCTCCTGCAGTGGAGGATAAAATCTCTGCATAAGACAGCGACGTTCAAACAGCTCCTGAACAAAACCAACGCGTTCATAGCTGATATGTCCAGGAGATTTTAAAATACAGCCGCACGCCACCTGAATGTTGGAGCTTTCACAGAATACTTTCTAATAATCTGATCGGACACATCCAGCCGACCTGTGTGTGGTTATAGTAGACCATGGGCTCCAGTTTGGCTTTTGGGTCGCCGAGTGTCCCGACCGAGGTGTGGGCAGCGCTATCCAAACCTTGAACAAAAGTTTCAGTATTGTTGGATGGGCGACTGATATGTCTGCATTTTGCAGGGGATGGGAAACATCCACGGACTCGCCTTCAGAAT